GAAACAGAACAGCTTGATGAATATCGCACTTGTTGCTCGCGTTCACTTGTAATTAAGACAAGCCATCGACATGCAGAAAAACCACTCTTTACCGTTAACTACTACGCTTCTGTTCGATCGAATGTACATTCAATTCAGCAAGAGCTCATTGTACGTATATTTCATTAACGCGTTGCTAAATCCACGTAAAAAAATATGTTACACAACCAAGGTAATATTGTTATTGAAGTTAAAAAAATTGACATTTAATATTTCTTTCATTCTTTAATACTAAATCTCGTTAAATAAGCCTCTTTAATACTAAATCTCGTTAAATAAACCTTTTTAATATTAAATCTCGTTAAATAAACTTCTTTAATACTAAATCTCGTTATAAATAAGCCTCTTTAATACTAAATCTCGTTAAATAAACCTTTTTAATATTAAATCTCGTTAAATAAACTTCTTTAATACTAAATCTCGTTAAATAAGCCTCTTTAATACTAAATCTCGTTAAATAAACTTCTTTAATACTAAATCTCATTTTGTAAATTTTGAAATTATTGAGATTATGAAGACTTTGTCTTAAGAAACGATCGAATAAATTTCCATTATATGATTCTTAATCATATAATGTCTTAATCAACGTTTTAATCATTAATCGCAATGAAAGATTGAAATATTAATGTTGATCATTAATCGCAATCAACGATTGAAATATTACTGTCCAGCGGTAATCGCAATTAGCGATTAAATTTCTTTTAATCGTTATTCGCGATTCAAGCCTGAAGAATTCTCTCCTCCTCCGAATACAAAAATGAAATAAAATATGAAACATATGATAAAGAGAACTCTTAACGGAACGACATCGAAATATGCTTCCAACTACATTAATAAATCAACAATTATTAACTGTCTCCTTAAATCGACGATTGACGATTAATTTCATCGATCGATTAATTCAATCGTTGATTTTTCGACGATTAATCGAGTCAAAAATTTTAGCCGGTTGATGCCCAACGCTGTTGGTACGGTCATGGTTAACAAGTCGAAATTGATTTATTCAAATATGAGCCGTTTATTTTGAAAGTGGCATAAGTCACTTTTTCAAAAAAATCGAGTTAATGATAACACTAATTACAATTGAACGGTATCTTTTCGTTTTAAAAAAATTTGCAATCAATCAGTTGAGAACTATTGAGATTTGTTCGTGAGAAGCTTTGCTAATTAACGGTGTAACAAACATGTTTATTTTGAAAGTGGCGTAAGTCGCTGTACTCGGGAAATTAATTGCGGGGCTTAGTGTAAAAGGAATAGAAACGTGTGATAAGTGTGTGTGAAGTATTGTTTTAAATTATTTTCAGTATTTTTATAAAAGTTGTGATCACTGCACTTATTTTTATAAGTGCGAAAGAATAGTGCAGTTTTGTAAATTATATTATAGTGATGTGGCGGCTACCTTCAGACCCGCCAGCAGATGGCTATAAAATGTTTTATAAACTAACTTTAGATGAAAAAGATGAATTTCTAACTTTGGATTTGTCACCAAAAAGAGGAAGACCTAGGCGTTATTCACAAATAGAAATGGATCCGTTATACGCTGGATCTCGTCCTGTTTCTTCAGCAAAATACAAAGACACGATGGACTTGCTTAATTATATACCCTCAATATACCACAGTTATTTAAAAAATTTGAAACAAAACACGATTTCCAAGGACTTAATCACTTCTATTGATGACGAAAATTAAATTGAACCGATGTATTTTCATATAAATTACTTATACTTATGTTTCAAAATGTACTAATTATATTTGTATTTTATGAATATTAAGATAAAAAATACTTAAATCAGACCTTTACATTAAATATGTTCATGGTATAAATTATTATTATATATGTAATTTATTCAACAATTTTAGTAAATCACTGTCCTTTCAAAACATCGCTTCGGTAAAATACGTCGGACAAAATGAATATATGTCAGTCATTTTTCTAAACTATTTATTTCGAAAGTGGCTCAAGTCACTTTACCGTAATGAAAAGTGGTGATTTTTTAAATGTTTATACGAAATTATTTATACTGAGAAAAATATCAGTATCCTGAGATAACAAATACAAGTAAACCTTCTCGAAAGTTAGCATCCCTTAAATATATCGACTTAAAAACAAAGTGACTTATGCCACTTTCAAAATAAGCGTTTTTAAGATTTCTACAGAATAAAGGGTCCCTCGATATTTTCTCGAAAACTATGACTCTCAGTCCCCGATGCTTTTACAAGCCCGTGCGAATGATTTTGAAAGCTCCGCGCAGATTCGGTTCCGGTCGGCCGACAACCGTGAAAACTCGTCCGAATGTTTCGCGTAGAGCGACGCAATTAATTCCGTTTCGCTGAATGCACGGCGCGCATCGATCCGTCGATCATTCACCGCGCCCACGGACTCCCACCTGCAAATCAATTCGCCCGAAGGGACGAACAATTGACCGGGAGTCGTCCTCGGCCCGTGTTCCCGCTTGCCCGCGACCCAGGACAATGTTTTCCCCGTCGTTTCTTACCGGGGACCGCATTAGAGAGGAACTCGTAGGAATGTTTCAGCCTGCGCCGCCTTCGAGGCTGCATTATTTATAAGGGATCGCGGATCGTCGTCGTTGCGATTGATTTCCACGACGCGATGGATATTTTCGTGCCCTCGAGCTTCTGTCTCTCCTTCGATTTCTCGCGGCACGCATCAACGTTTTCACTCGGAAAACGATACTTAGATTGGAGGACGTTGAACTAGATGATCATCGATTCAAGGATTCGTGAAACGCTAGATAGAAGAATTCGGTGGATCGTTATCATATCCGGTGTACAAGCGCATATTTACGAAACTGCGGATCTTTCTGTGACAGAAAAATCTTCTGCATCAACTGCACGAAGTATTATTATTAACCCTTTGCACTCGAGTGATGAGGGCGTAACTGCTGCGTGAGTCACAAGAGTCAATCTCATATGCATAAAATGCACTTTGTCGTATAAAATAAGAATACTATAAGCCAGAAAAATTATTCTAGATTTACAGTTGAAATAGCTTCGAGTGCAAAGAGTTAACACTAAACCTACCGCGGTCAAAGTGACCGCTTTCTTATTTTGCAATTCTGCAAAGTTCCGAGACTCTTTCGTCGAAAACGCTTGAATAAGTTATATTATTGGAGCAAGTTTTATAATAAAAACTTTACAAATTCTAAATAAATTCGGTCTTCTCACTTTTGTGAAGCAGTACATGCCGGTTAGTATTACTGCTTGGTAGGTTTAGTGTTAAAGAATTTTAATAAACCTGTATTCATCAACCAATTCAATCTATAGACCGTACCCGTTATGCGCGATAGCCGTATTGTTTAATTTGTGATATTTGGTATTTATGATAAATTTCATCCATCATGGTCTTTATACGATTTTGTTATATACGGACTGCGGATTTTACGTATTTGTGACAAAAATTTGTATCTGTAAATTTAAAGAGTAGATAGAGTTAGAGAATTAATGAGTCTCGATACATTGCTTTCAACCTACTATAATTATTAACAAAACTGACTCCTGATTCTTGCAACAAATGTAGATAATTTTTATTTTGCATAAAAATCCGAAGATTAATAATATAAATATATATAATGTACGTACAAGAAGTGTGTTCTTGAATGACATTCATATCGTACGAATATAATATAAAGTTATACAAATAATATAAAATATATATAATATATAAATATTAATATATAGTAATAATATATAATATATAATAATACAATAATATAATAATATATAAATAATAATATAAAATATATAAATATTTTTTCAATTATACTCTTTCATTTTAATCAGTACTGAACGGCTTGAAACTACCAATTTAAGATTGTTGAAATTATAAAGTATTTCGCAGGAAATGATTGTATGAATTGCTTAATTAAAGCACATGCATAATATAATAAAAATACCAAGATGTCTAAATAAGGTCAGTCTTGTAATTCTTATAAAGCAACACATGTCACACATCTTCAGTGTTACCATAGTAAACTGTATCTTCTCATTTCGATCACAAATGCATAAAATCTACAGTCATTAGGAACTATCAAGCTCGTTAGAAGAGCATATTAAAATGAAAAAGATTTCAAAAATGTTCTGGTGTATTTGACTTTTTCGAGTAGCTCAATGCACATTTTGGATCGAGAAAAGTTTCTAATTCATGATAGTTGAAATTACACTCTGCTAATAAAGGTTCCGTTTATTTTCAGGCGTAGGGCGTACCAATACCGCAGCTTGCGGTTACGCTCGCAAGGTCGTATTCAAGGATATTGCTTTCCCATTAGAAAGCTGTCATCCTGTGTAAGCCTGCTTGTCGCGGCGAGATTTTGTAAGTCCTACATTCTCAGTCTCCACAAAATATTTATTTCTTTATACTTCCGTTACGTCATCGAATTGTAATTCATGCCGCTATCATCGATCCGTCAGCGTTTATTCATACACAGTGGCTAACGATCGAAATACAATTTAGCAATGACCGAAACACTTTTCTTTTTAAAAAGCTATAGGATAATATTTTTAGTATGCATATAAGTTATCGAGATTTACAAAACGCATTTTTTAAATTTATATTCTCAGATACGAAAGTTGAGAAAACGTTACAGTTCATTTATTTTTATCATTTCAAATAACAGCAAAATTACAAAGAAAGTATTTTAGTCATTGCACAAATAAAATATTAATCAGTCTAAAATCTTCAAAAGATTCAAGTTGTCAAAATGTTATACCGTCTTAGAAGGCGTTCGAATACCTTTTTTATCCACCGTATACTTTTTCTTTTATAATAATATGAGCATTCGAATTATTCGTCAAGAATTTAGGTTTAACATTCCACAATGTGTAATAACGCTAATTTATTTCACGATCGTCGGAGGTTTTCGACTATAAATAAAGGTTGACAGCAGGATCACTTATCGAATACGGATCATAATTATATTAGATAATGGAATTTCGAGACGAACCTGCAACGTAGACCCGTGATTTAGCCGTATTGAAGTATCGGTGTAGATCCTTCTCCTCGATCGATCCGTTGGCAGCCTCGGTTTTATTTAACCAGTGCCTGGCAAAGTATTTCTCATTAAAGCACCGTTAGAATGTTTTCTGGCGATAATTAAGCGACGTTTTAGTGTACAGTTACTTCGCGAATTATTATTCGGTAGGTCGTTAGGAGGAGTTCATCGCGAATGGATCGCTTCAAAACCGTGCGCAACGTGATATACCTGTTTTCGAAAGAAAGAGGCCAACCATCATAGTGTAACTGTTCGTTCTACTATTTATTTCACTTCAAGTTTTAACACTGAGCATACCACTCTGTAAACTTTTACTCCATAATTCTAAATTAAAGGAGTATTCTAAAATTATAATTAATAGACTACGGATTTTATGTATTTACGGCAAAGAGTAGTTGCAATGTAAAATAAGAAAGATTAAAAGAATTTGAAGATGGCGGTGTATTATTTTTGATCTATTAAAATTATTAAACAATAAAACAACTTGCTGTTTAGTGTCTATTTCTTGCAATCGATGCAGACAATTTTTATTATGCATAAAAATTCGCGATCTAGTAATTATCGTCTTGAGCGTCGAAAATCAACTACAAAAGATTCCCACAAAATCTAAGTAATTCGATTAATAGAACTGAAACACTAACCCTTCTGCGTTTGAATCGTTTAAGCGGGTATTCTAGCACGAATCTTTGAAAAAATTGATATTCTTGCATTTTCTTGAAGAATATTCGACTGTGTCACAAAGCAACCGAAGTCTTGAAGCCAAAAAATTTGTAAACGTTGCTGAAACCTCGCTAAAAAAATCTCGAATAAAGTTCAAGAAAAACGCACTTCGCGCTAGAAATACCCGCTTAAAAACCAGCCAAAAATGCGTGTCATCGATACGTGACCGACGCGGCGCTCAACACGTGTTAATGTCGATTATGGTTATTTAGGAACCTTTGCTGACGACAGAAGATGCAACGCCAGGATTTGTCAGTGTTGTTCCAGCGACAGCAGCCTTTCCTGCAGGACCTCGCGCCGCAATCCTCGCAACGGACCCCGCGAGTCAGCACGAACGGCTTCAGACAGCACGCGCAACGATTTTCATCGACTGGTATCTGCCTCGCCCCTTCTTCCTTCGAGCCCCCTGACTTTCTGTAAAGTGGAATACAATGCACTGCAGCGATGACACTGGGATCGGAAGGTAAAACGTGAGTCATTCCTCCATATGAATCATTCATAAGGTCTCGGATGTTTACTGATTAGCGTTAAGTAACCGTGTCTGTCTACGGCAGTCGATAGCCAGTTAATCGACCAGTACGTAGGTGGTATTTTCACTGGGTATTTATTATTCGCTCCACACGGTGCTTGTTACATGTTAATCAGTGTTCATATTTCAATCGCTGCTTGCTGCTCGTTACGAAATTCCTATGTTCATAGAGTAAGTACCTTTACATTGTTTTATCGCACTCGATAGTATCAACGGCTGAAGATAAAAGTTTATGTAACATCAGCCGGTTAATTGATATCTTGCTTCTATTTATTCTTTTAACTGCGATTACCGGGTCATTATTACCCAATCGAATAAAACAAATTGCTGTTATATTAGGAACAACTGGATGTTTAATATTAGTTCTACCGGTAAGTTCTGTCCGATAGTGTCACTTCAAGTTTCAATCCATATGCACATGTTGATTTCAGACATATATGACTATTTATCATTGCATTTACACACATGTACTCTCCTAAATAAACTGAAACAAAGATGTCTCGTGTCATTATTAAGCGAGACGCGATCGTGAAAACATGGCTACCGATGATAATGCCAGACCACACGCTGCTTTGGCGACTCGTCGGAAAATCGCAGAGCTAGGCTGGGATATTCTGTCGCATCCACCATGCTCCCCAGACCTAGCACCCTCCGATTATCACTTGTTTCTCTCTTTGCAAAACTTTTTACAGGAAAAAACATTCAAAACTGAAGCTGATGTCAACCAAGCACTGGTTGAGTTCTTCGCCTCTAAAAATAAATCATTTTAAAAAAATGGCATTTACAAGTTGCCATCGCGCTGGCAAGAAGTCATAAGTAGCGATGGAAAGTATATTCTAC